ATAGTTTTATACTTCACAAATAAGTTTATTTTTCATAATGACTTTTTCCATATTGGTGTCCCCGATGTGAACGGGGAATGATGTGGCAACACAAGTTGGCAGTCGAAAAACAAAATCAGTTACGTGTCATAATATTTTTGAATTTGTGAACCTGATCAGATATTTGAACACAGTATTATACTTATTGAATAAGATTAGTTTTGATAATCACTTTATCTACAGCATAATAATATTTATATTATTAAAATCCGAATACTAATAATCAGTAGACTTAAAATGCTTCTGAAATATATTATTATTAAGGCTAGAAAGGTTTTATGTGCAATTTATTTTGATTTTGTATAGTAAATAATTCAGTTTAGTTATATTGCAATATATGAAAATGTCAATGAATAAATAAAGACGAAAATTAATAAATTCATTCATTCATTCATTCATTATGAATAATAATACTTTGAGTAATAGGTGTATATGATTGTAACAGGGGACCTGAATGATTAGAAAGTTTCTGAAAAAGAAAAGGTAAGATTTTTTTATAAAGTTAAAATATTTATAAGAGAAAAATTGAACAATAGTTTTTTTGAAAATCTGAATAAACAATTCTTTATTAAAGATCTGACTAGTTTTAAGTTCATAAAAAGAGAATATCACTTTTAAAGGTTAATAAGATTATAATAATTTGTTTATAAGTTATTGGTTCAGCCTTAAGGCAATATGGAATATACCACCAGATCATAAAATTTAATTACTTATTTTGGTTCTAAAATTGTCAAACAATAATACTTTTTTCTAAATTTCCTGGTAAACTGGTAAAAAGTAAAGCAAGGAACACAAGGTCACGTGAGCCAAAAATTTTCAAAATTTAAATTATGCAAAAAATATGAATAAATATATATATATAAAAGTACTAGTAATACAGATAACATATAATTAAAATAAATATCAACTATTTTGTTTCAATATTTAAGATCAATATTTTTCAAAATGTGGTCTAACAATGATTACAAGCAAAAAATTGTTAATTATATGAAAAGTACCACTAAAAGAAATATTTGTTTATCCAAATTGAAACTCTACAATAAAAGAATATAATTTAATGATCTATCAATATTCGCTCTGAATAATACCTTAATATGTAACTATTGAATGTAAAGCAAATTTTTGATAATTATGTGAGGAGTAACATCGAAAAAAATATTAAAAATTAAAATTCTATAATAAAATTAAAATAATGTAATAATTCCTCAATATTTGCTCTAAATAATACTATAGATATAAGCGAAGATGTAAGCAAAGATTTGATATATATACTAAAAGAAACATTTGCTTATACAAAAATAAAATTTTATAATAAAAAAAAAATTAGCGTATGATTATATTTTGTTTACCACTTAATAAAGCTCGCAATTTCAATGTTAATGTAATGTTATGCAAATACACGAATTTAAGACACTATTTAATGGAATAAAGCCAAAATTAAATTATATTACTAATGATATTACCAATGGAAGAATTATAAAGATCTGAGTAGAAATTTTTATTTATATTAGGTGGAAGTAAAAACTTTTGAAATATTGCTAAGTCCATAGCAACATTAAGTTATGGGGCATGAAAAATGTGCAGTATCAATCTGTAATATGTTTTGAATAATTATGGTTCAAAATCTATACTACTACTTCTACTTCAACTTTTTTTAATTGAATTAAGAAATATTAAGAATCTTTAATATAATAATATTACCTAAATATATAACTTTATATCACATTATATATATATATATATATATATACATATATATAAACCTATTACGTTACTATGTGAGTCACACAGATTCATTACCTTGCGAATAGATCGAAGAATGCGACAAGTATCTCTATCGACCTTGTCATGGCGGCCCACATTGTTCATTTTTATTACTATTATAATAAAATATACTCGAGGTAAAACTAACGTATAAATTTAGCCATTATTATCACTTGAAACACTTAATAGTAAACAGTCACTATAAATCGATTGTCATTATTTCATATACATTATTTTCTCATACAGATCACTTAGGAAAA